ACCCCTCCGCAGAAATCCACAGCCTCATCGTCCCCGTGGCCGTCCTGGCGTTTTTTATTTATATGTTTTCTAAAACAGCTTCACTGAGAGATAACTCACATACCGTAAAAGGCGCCCATCGTAAGCATTCCGGTGGCTATTTTTAGTAAATTTACACAGTTGTGCAACTGCCACCACAGTCCGGTTTTAGCCCGTTCCCGCCCCTGAAGGTGGAAGGTTCTCGGGTGCCCACTGGAAGCCATTCCTCCCCACACCCGACCCAGCCGACCAGCGATGTGCTTTCTCTGTGGCTCTAATTCACGTCTCCCGAGGACTGAGCCCTTTTCACCTGGCCATTAGCCACTCGGAAATTCTCTTCTGGGAAGCTTCTGTTCAAGTCCCCCCACCCCCCACCCCCGTTTTTATATCGACGTGCCTGTCTGTCTTTCTCATACTGCTCCGTAGTTCTTTATGTGTTTGGTGTAGGAGCGCCTGGTCAGATAAATATGTTGTGAATATGTTTTTCCACCTGTGCTTCGCCTTTTCATTCTCTTAATGGTTAACTTCATACATGCGCTGCCAAAGCGAGCACGTTAATGGCTTATTTTGGTAACGTTCCTAATTTTAATATACTCTGATTTGTATTTCTTGTACAATTAACATCTTTTATATATTTATTTATTTTTTAAAAATATATATTTCATTGATTTTTTACAGAAACATTGGATGAGAGAGAAACATCAATCAGCTGCCTCCTGCATGCCCCCTACTGGTTGTGCGCCCGCAACCCAGGTACATGCCCTTGACCGGAATCAAACCTGGGACCCTTCAGTCTGCAGGCCGATGCTCTGTCCACTGAGCCAAACCAGTTAGGGCTTCACATATTTTTTTTTTAATGTTTTTACTTATTTTGGAGAGAGAGGAGAAAGAGAGAGAGAGAGAGAAAGAGAGAGAGAGAGACATCAATGAGAAACATTGATCAGCTGCCTCCTGCACTCCTCCCACTGGGAGCCAACCCTTAGCAGCTGTTTTCTTTTCTTTTCTTTTCTTTTCTTTTTTTTTTTTGTAACTGTTTTGTTTCTAGCTTTTCTCACGCTCTTGGATCACTTCACCTGTTTATTGATCAGGTCACTCGGTCCCCCTTCTGCCCTCAGCAGCCCGGGGCCCAGCAGCATCCGTGCAGAGAGGTTGCGAGGGAAAAGGTGCCAGCACCCTGGGCCGATGGCCAGGCCGGCTGTGCGGCTGGGACTGGGATCGGCTGCCCCCGCGGGGCGAGGGCCGGGCTGAGGGCTGGGGCTGAGGGCTGGGGCTGGGGCTTAGGACTAGGGCTGAGGGCTGGGGCTAGGGCTGAGGGCTGGGGCTGAGGGCTGGGGCTGAGGGCTGAGGGCTGGGGCTGAGGCACTGGACCCCTGACCCACCCAGCCCCCCCCCCTCGCGCTGCAGACAGACCCGGTGCGGCTGACCCAGCTGTACGAGCAGGCGCGCTGGGACCTGCTGCTGGAGGAGATCGACTGCACGGAGGAGGAGATGATGGTGTTCGCCGCCCTGCAGGTGAGGCGCCGGGCGGGGGCGGGTGCCGGGCGGCCCGGCGGGCAGGGTCCTCCAGAGGCCCCTCTCCAGGAAGCCCAGCTCGGGGCCGGATGGGTGAAGGGGCCGCCCACTGAGCCGCCTGCCCTGTGCGCCCCCAGTACCACATCAACAAGCTGTCGCAGAGCGGGGAGGTGAGCGAGCCCGCGGGCGCAGACCCGGGGCTGGACGACCTGGATGCCGCCCTGAGCAACCTGGAGGTGAAGCTGGAGGGCTCGGCGCCCGCCAACGTGCTGGTAAGGAGGGCGGGGTCCGAGTCAGAGGGCGGGTCCGGGTCCGAGGGCGGGGTCCGGGTCCGAGGGCGGGTCCGGGTCGGAGGGCGGGGTCTGGGTCAGAGGGCGGGGTCAGGGTCCGAGGGCAGGTCCGGGTCAGAGGGCGGGGTCCGGGTCAGAGGGCGGGGTCCGGGTCAGAGGGCGGGTCCGGGTCAGAGGGCGGGTCCGGGTCAGAGGGCGGGGTCCGGGTCAGAGGGCGGGGTCAGGGTCAGAGGGCGGGGTCTGGGTCAGAGGGCGGGTCAGGGTCAGAGGGCGGGTCAGGGTCAGAGGGCGGGGTCCGGGTCAGAGGGCGGGTCCGGGTCAGAGGGCGGGGTCCGGGTCAGAGGGCGGGGTCAGGGTCAGAGGGCGGGGTCTGGGTCAGAGGGCGGCGTCCGGGTCAGAGGGCGGGGTCCGGGTCAGAGGGCGGGGTCCGGGTTAGAGGGCGGGGTCCGGGTCAGAGGGCAGGTCAGGGTCAGGGGGCGGGTCAGGGTCAGACGGCGGGGTCCGGGTCAGAGGGCGGGTCAGGGTCAGGGTCAGGCCGAGCCAGCCCCTCTGACTCCTCTGCTCCCAGGACAGCCTCACCGCCATCCCGGAGCTCAAGGACCATCTCCGCATCCTGCGGTGAGGGGGGCAGAGTTGGCAGCCCTGCAGGGGCGGGGGGGGGGTGAAGGAGGAGGAAGAGGTGTGTGGAGGGGGGAGGACGTGGCCTGGGACCTCCCGCCTCCCCCGCAGGCCCCGGAAGCTGACCCTGAAAGGGTACCGCCAGCACTGGGTGGTGTTCAAGGAGACCACGCTGAGCTACTACAAGAGCCAGGAGGAGGCCCCGGGCGACCCCATCCAGCAGCTCAACCTCAAGGGCGAGTGCGGGCGGCTGGGGGTGCCCCGCCCGCTTCCCCGGGGCCGGGAGGACGCCTGCTCCGGCCGGGGTCCCCTCTCGGCCTCCTAACCCCCCTCTCCTCCCCCAGGCTGCGAGGTGGTCCCTGATGTCAACGTCTCCGGCCAGAAATTCTGCATCAAACTCCTGGTGCCCTCTCCCGAGGGCATGAGCGAGCTCTACCTGCGCTGCCAGGATGTGAGGGCGGCGGGCCGGGCCGGGCCGGCTGAGGCGGGGGCGGGGCAGGGACCCACCCGGAGCCGGGCCGGGCTGGACCTTACCGCCCCTCTGCACCCCCAGGAGCAGCAGTACGCCCGCTGGATGGCCGGCTGCCGGCTGGCCTCCAAGGGCCGCACCATGGCGGACAGCAGCTACGCCAGCGAGGTGCAGGCCATCCTGGCCTTCCTCAGCCTGCAGCGGACGGGGACCGGGGCCCCCGGCAGCCAGCCCCCCGGCCCGGACGCCTCCGCGGAGGGCCTCAACCCGTACGGCCTGGTTGCCCCCCGCTTCCAGCGCAAGTTCAAGGCCAAACAGGTGCCAGAGGGCTGGGCGGTGGGACTGGCCACCTCCAGGGCCTTCCCCCGGAAAGCCACGTGCTCCCTCGTTCCTCCTCCCCGCGCCCCCTCCGGGCCTGGCTCAGCTCAGGGTGTGAGTGGTGAGAGGGGCACTCCCTCGCTCAGCGGATGGGGACAGGTGGGGGCCGCTGGGACTTGGGGTGCCCCTCACCCGCGTGGTCCCACAGCTCACCCCCCGGATCCTGGAAGCCCACCAGAACGTGGCCCAGCTGTCCCTGGCCGAGGCCCAGCTGCGCTTCATCCAGGCCTGGCAGTCCCTGCCCGACTTCGGCATCTCCTACGTGATCGTCAAGTAAGAGCCCGCCGCCCTCCCCACCTCACCCTGAACCTCCTTCCGGCTCTGGGCGTGGCCCCACCCAGCCTGCACCCCCACAGCAAGCAGATCAGGCCGGAGGACAGAGACCAACTCCGCCCGGCTCTGCCCGGACCCTTCCCTCTCCCGACCCCCGGGAGCTGGTCGGTGGGACGGGCCAACGTGGCTGCTGGGACAGGGGGTGGCCCCTGCCTGTTTTCTAAGCCTGTGAAGATGTGATCAAGGCAGCAGGTGATACAAAAAAGTCACTTATGCAAAAATATATTTTTTATTGATTTCAGAGAGGAAGGGAGGAGAGGGAGAGAAACATCCATGATGTGAGAGAATTGTTGATCGGCTGCCTCTTGCATGCCTCCTGCTGGGGATGGAGCCCAAAACCAGGGTCTATGCCCTGACTGGGACTTGAACTGTGACTTCCTGGTTCACAGTTTGAAGCTCACCCACGGAGCCATGCCAGCCGGGCAGAAAAAGTTATTTAAAGGCACAGACTATGTGCTGACACTGCCAGATGCTATTATAATTATCACGCTGGTAACTCCCGCTTTCCAGATGAGGAACTTGAGGCCCCGAGAGTCCAAATGAGTTCCTTGCACAACCCGCTCCCGAGCTCTGCAGCAGGCAGCCTGGGCCGGCTCCGGGCCAGGGGCGGGCCCTCGCTCACCCTGTCCTCCTGCCGACCAGGTTCAAGGGCAGCAGGAAGAATGAGATCCTGGGCATCGCCAACAACCGGCTGATCCGCATCGACCTGGCCGTGGGCGACGTGGTCAAGACCTGGCGCTTCAGCAACATGCGCCAGTGGAACGTCAACTGGGACATCGAGCAGGTGGGCCGAGGGCGGGCGGGCGGGGCCGGCCAGACCAGCCAGGGCAGGGCTCCCCGCACCCCCACCAGCCCCCTGACCGCCCGCCCGCCCGCAGGTGGCCATCGAGTTCGACGAGCACATCAACGTGGCGTTCGGCTGCGTGTCCGCCAGCTGCCGCATCGTGCACGAGTACATCGGCGGCTACATCTTCCTGTCCACGCGGGAGCGGGCCCGTGGCGAGGAGCTGGACGAGGACCTCTTCCTGCAGCTCACGGGCGGCCACGAGGCCTTCTGAGGCCCGTCTGACCGCCCCGTCACTCCCCGCCTGCCACCAGCCCGCTCTCAGCGGACTCACTGCCCACACGCTCTCCACGCACCGAGCTGGGCACATCGCACCGTCACTGGCTTTGTGCAGACCGGCCGCCGGCCAGACTGCCACGCCCCGGCCCGGGAGGCCGGCCTGAGCTCTGCAGCGTCACCCTCCCTCCTCCCAGTGCCGAGACCAGCTCCCTGGCCCAGGAGTGGTCCCTGAGCCCCAGGAAGACCAGCTGGAGCCACAGGATGGGAAGTGATGGTTTCAAACTGGAAGGTTTTTGTTTTTGTTTTTTTTATCTTTTTCCATTTCCTTTTTAATAAATATTTTATGGTTGGATCATCCTCCCTCCTCTGGAGCTGTGCTGGGGGCCACTCTGACACGCTGTCTCTTCATCGCCAGCCAAGGAGAGGGCTTTTCCTGAGACAGAGAGGACTGCGTGAGAGATGGGGGGCCTCGGTCAGCCTGGGGTTGGCGGAGGACACAGCCGGGGACACAGGAAGCGGGTGGAGGGCGGTCCTCACTGGTGGGCCGCAGCTGCAGGGCCTCCGTGAAGTACTTGGGGAGCAGGAAGCCATCGGCGTTCCCCGGAGTCAGGATCACCCCGTTGGCAGAGCGGAAGAAGGGGATTCCATCTGCAGACGGAGCAGAGCTGGGACCCAGGCCCTCTCTGGGGCCCGGGCAGCCCTGTCGCCCCCCACTCACCGGCCAGGGCCAGGGGCCCGTTGACGAACACGGCCACGTGGCAGTTGGGCCGCATGCCTGCAGAGACAACCGGAGCTGGGCCTGGGGCCTCTGGGTGGCAGTTACCAAACGTGGGCAGGCTGGGGTACTGGACTCAGAGAGGAAAAGGGGTACTGCTGCATACGGGTATGGGGGGGGGCTTTGGACATTTGGGGGGACCTGGGAGGAGAGTGGGTGGGAGTAGCTGGGGGCGGGGATACTGACCACTGATGACCCCAGGGTCCCCAGGCAGCCCTGTGGCCAAGTGGATGTGAGTCCTTCCGCGGCAGGACAGGCCCTTGAGCCGGATGGAGGGCCAGTGCTGCCAGAACGTGCCATGGACCAGCGTCGGGGGCAGATCCTGCGGGGTCTCCAGGGGCATCAGCTCCAGATCAGGAACCTGGCAGGGGTGGGGGGGATGGGCAGAGTGAGACCCCTCACAGGCAAGGGTCCCCTGGCTCTCCCACTGCCCCGCCAGCCCCACCTGCAGGGAGTGGCCCTGGTTGGCCCGGATGAGGGGGCCGGTGCCGGGGTCGCCCGGCTGCAGGGCGAACCGCTGCTTCGCGTTGGTGTCCACCACGCGCTGCACGTCCTCCGCCGAGAAGCCGAGGAACTGGGGCAGCTGCAGGAGGGCGCGCAGGGGCACGAAGCCGCCTGCGGGCAGGTGGCGCTCAGGAGTCGAACTTGCTCGGGCCTAAGCCGGAGCGCACAGGGGAGACACGCACAACAGAGCAGGGCCTGGGCTCGGGGACCACACGGGCTCAAGGGAACTGGATCTGCCTCATGGAGGGTCACAGTGTCCCAGCTGGTGTGGCTCAGGGGATAGAGCTTCTGCCTGCAGACCGAAGGGTCCTGGGTTCAATTCCCGTCAAGGGCACACGCTCGGGTTGCAGGTCCCCAGTGGGGGGTGTGCAGGAGGTAGGCGACCAATGATTCTCTCTCATCATGGATGTTTCTCTCTCTCCCTCTCCCTTTCTCTCTGGAATCAATAAAAATATCTTTTTAAAAAAGGGTAAGTGGCCCTAACCGGTTTGGCTCAGTGGATAGAGTGTCGGCCTGCGGACTGAAGGTTCGATTCTGGTCAAGAGCATGTACCTTGGTTGGGGGCATATCCCCGGGGGGTGTGCAGGAGGCAGCTGATCGATGTTTCTCTCTCATTGATGTTTCTAACTCTCTATCCCTCTCCCTTCCTCTCTGTAACAAATCAGTAAAATATATTTAAAGAAAGAAAAAAATATATATTTTTAAAAAGATAAAGTGACTCTCTTAGTACATACTTGACTCACAGTGGGTTCTCAACAAGCCTCATTTGCACCCCCGCCCACTTCGGAGATGTTTTAGGGTCACAGGCCTGGCCAAAGAGAGGCTCCCCCACCCCAGTTTGCCCAGAGAGGATACTGGGCTCTGGGTCTCCCCGTGAATGGAAGGAGGCGGCCTGCAGGCCACCCCGGTGGGCAGTGGAGGGAGCCCCCTGCGCGGGAGCCTTCTCCCCACTTACCGGCCCCCAGGGGCAGCCCCAGCGCCAGGGCCCCGTGGCGCAGGGCATAGGACAGCGCCTTGGACAGCTGCACGTCTCGGTCCTGTAAGAGTTCAGAGGTGGCTCCGGTGCCCTGGTGCCCCTGTCCTGCCGCTGCCGCCCCGGGACTCTGAGTGGCCTGCCCGGGGAGGGGGACCAGAGGGAGAGCAGTCCCGGGCGCCAGAGAACAGTGTGACCCCAGCCCCCAGGCCCGCCAGGCATTCCCCGGGGACGGGGTGAGGGTGGGGGGGCGCACCTGTTCCCGGGGCCTGCGAGCCCTCCTCCCTCTGGGCCCCGCTGCTTCCAGCTTCCTCTCTCCAGAGCTCATGGCAAAGCCTGGGGGCGCGGGGCCAAAGGGGGGGCTGTTAGGGGCCTCCCGTGACTCCAACCCGCCCAGAGCGCCCCAGCTCAGGATGTGGGGTGCCCTCCCCGCCCCCCGGGGCACGTGGAACCCGGAGCCCAGCGGGCACGGCCTGCCCAAGGTCATCGCACCGCCAGCCGCGGGGCCAGCGGGGCCGAGCCCGCGCTCCGGGCTCGCGGGTCGGGCTCGGGCCGAGGAGGCGGGGCGGGCGGCCAGGACCCCGGGGCGGAAGATCCGGGAGGGAGGGCGGGACCGACCGCGACTCCGCCCGAAGCTGGCCAATGAGAAGCCGGGGCGGGAGGGCGGGCACTTCCGCTCGGGGAAGGGGGCGGGGCCTGCGGGCTGAACTGGCGGTGAGTCCCGCCGGAGGCTGAGCCCCCGCGCCCTGGGAGTGGTCCTGAGCCCTGGGTTTGGGAGGCTGGACATTAGGGGGGGACTGGACCCAGGCCTCGGGGGGTAGGGGTGCCTGGCAGCTGGAGCCTCGGGCGCCTGCTGGAGGATAAGACACTTGACCGCCCAGGGGGGTGCAAAAGGGCTTGGGGGGTGTCCTCAGTAGGTCTGTGGGTGCTCTAGGTCCCCAAGGTGACAGGCCTGGCTGTGACTGTCCCCAGAGCTGCCCTGTCCAGACCATGGACCCCGAGGTGTCTCTGCTGCTGCAGTGCCCCCCGGGTGGGCTGCCCGAGGATCAAGTCCGGGCTGAGCTGAGCCCAGCCTACGACCGTCGCCCGCTGCCCGGAGGGGACGGAGCCATCGCCGCCGCCTGGGAGAGCCGGCTCCGGGCCCAGCCCTGGCTGTTTGACGCTCCCAAGTTCCGCCTGCACTCGGCCTCCCTGGCGCCCGCCGGCTCGCAGGGCCCACAGCTGCTGCTGCACCTGGGCCTTACTTCCTACCGGGACTTCCTGGGCACCAACTGGGCCAGCTCAGCCGCCCGGCTGCGGCAGCAGGGGGCTGCCGACTGGGGTAACAAGCAGGCCTACCTGGCAGACCCCCTGGGCGTGGGTGCCGCCCTGGCCACCGCCGACGACTTCCTTGTCTTCCTGCGCCGCTCTGGGCGGGTGGCCGAAGCCCCTGGGCTGGTGGACGTGCCTGGTGGGCACCCTGAGCCTCAGGTGAGATGCCAGGCTGGGTGCAAAGGCACCGAGACCCAGACAGCTCAGCGTTGTTGTCCTCACCCCTCGGAGGAGGAATTGGCCTGGTTACTTGTGAAAATCTCTGCTCAAGGCCGCCCTCCGCCTCCTCGCTGACCCCTTCCCCGGATCTGTGAGGAGCTAGGGAGTGGGGGCTGGGACCCAGCGGGCCCTCTGCTTGTCCATCTGGAGAAGGAGGGCCTGGGTCAGGGGGCCGCCAGCACTCAGGCTGCACACAACAGGCCCCCAGGGACGGCGAGGCCGGGGGAGGCGGGGCCGGAGGGGGCGGGGCCGGAGCTGAGCCTCCCTCCGCAGGCCCTGTGCCCCGGCCACAGCCCCCTGCACCAGGACCTCCCGGGGCCGCTGGTGGTGCACGAGCTGTTCTCCAGCGTCCTCCAGGAGATCAGTGATGAGGTGAGTGAGGGTCCCAGGACGGGGCGGGCTGGGAGGCAGGTGGTAGAACATGCCAGAATTAACCTTGGTCTGGGCGGGGGGAGGGTCTGCAGACAGGAGACGCTGAGGGAAGAACTGGGCTCTGCAGTTGGGCACGTGGAGTGGCAGCCCAGCCCTCATTCCTGTGCCCCTCCAGTTCTTTCTCCTTACAATGTGAGCTCTGTGAAGGCCTTGCCCACTCCGCCGAAAAGCGAAGTAACTGGAAGCTGATCGATCGGTATTCCTTGGGTGGCGCTGGGCAAATGATTCAATCTCTGGTCCGGTTTTCCCACCTATAAAGCGAGCGTGCCCACGATCCAACACACAGCCTCCGGGCAGCTGAGCCACACACTGCAAAATGTGTAGCTCCAGGGCAGTGCGTGCGCTGTCTCCACGGAGAGGGGCTGGGCCGTGGGCCGTGGGCACTGACAGGTGGGCCCCTGGCCCCAGGTGAATCTGCCACTGCTCACCCTGAGCCAGCCGCTGTTGCTGGGCATCGCACGCAATGAGACCAGTGCGGGCCGCGCCAGTGCCGAGTTCTTCGTCCAGTGAGTGAGCTCGGGGGGGCAGGGGCCTGGGGCCTGGGCAGCGGGTGTGGGTGGAGGGGCAGGGCTGATGCAGCCGGGGCTCCACAGGGGCCCTCCTGGGACTGGGCGCCCACCATCCTCATGTCTCACCCAGGTGCAGCCTGACTTCTGAGCAGGTGAGGAAGCACTACATGAGTGGGGGGCCCGAGGCCCACGAGTCCACGGGAATCATCTTTGTGGAGACACAGGTGCGAGGTGGCCAAGTCTGGCGTGGACGAGGAGTGGGGCTGGGACTTGCAGAGGCCTGGAGGCTCCCAAATGTCTCAGAGCTTTTCTCCAGGGCCACAGGCCTCCCTGGGGATGCCGGAAGCCCGACGGAGGGGCCCGGGACCTGCTCAGCCTCTTTCCATGTCTCAGTAGGGACTGCACAGTGCCCAGGGCTCTGAGGCTCAGGGGCTCTGGGCACAGCTCCTGCGAGAGCCCTGAGAGCCACATGTCTGCATCTCTGTCTCCCACAGAGAGTGAGGAGGTTGCAGGAGACTGAAATGTGGGCCGAGCTCTGCCCCTCCGCCAAAGGCGCCATCTTCCTCTACAACCGGGGTCAGGGAAGCCCCACCTGAGTGGCCCTCGGGTCCGCAGCCCTGCCACCACGGCCAGCTCGAAGGACAATAAAGGACTTTATTCTTGGATTCCGTTGACACATGCTGTTTGCACGAGGCAGAGGGGCCGCTGGGAGAGCCGGGGTGGGTGAGAGCCGGGACAGGCGGCTTGGAAAAGAGAAAGCCCAGCCTGGGTGTTGCCCTCTGCCAGCCGGGTTGCGGGCCGTGTCCCCTCGCCAGGCTCTGGTGAGGGTCCGGGTCGACCACGGGGTGGAAACTGCCCTGTGCAAAGTGTTTCCCTGCAAAGTGGCGTTTTTGACAGCCACGTTCGTGACAGAGCGACGGCCGCAGGGCGGAGAGCCTAACGCAGTGTCAGCCTCGGTGCCGCCCGCTTCCGGGGGGGATGGATGCCCTCAACTCTCCGCGCGTCCGGGGCTCCGGCCTCGGGGGGCGGGCCCGAAGTGTCAAAGGCCAATGGGTGACGGGGGCGGGGCCCAGCGTCCTTCCGGTGTGGTGGGCGTGGCCTGGGCGTCTAAGCCAATGATAACGTGGGGCGGGGCCTAAGTCGGCGCAGGAAATGGAGGCGTGGGGCGGGGCTTGGTGTGGCTCCTCCTCCACCCACTGCCCACCTCTCCCCGGCAAGCTCCCGGGCTGGGCCGGGGGTCTCCGAGCCCGCGTCTGACTGCCTGGACGTCGAGGCCAGGTTCTAGGCAGCACAGGTCCAGGGCACCGGGGTCTGGGCTGGAGCCGGGAAGCCCCACCGGCCCCTGGGTCCTCGGGCCCGCTCCAGCTTTCCTTGGCCGGTAATGGGGGCCGGGCCCCTTCCCGCCGCCCCCGGAGCGCCTGCAGGCTGGCCCCCATGCACTCTCCCTGTGACCTCCTTCCACCAGCTGTCCTCCCGCCGCCATGCTGCCCCTGCTGCCCCTGTGCCTTTGTCGGCCGTGGCCCCGCAGCCCTCCCGCCCGGCTCTTCGCGGAGGCCGCCCGGCAGCGGTGAGTCGGTCGCGGGGGGCCGGTGGCTTCCCGGAGGTTCCGTGGGTGTGTGCGGAGGGCCAGGCCCTGCCCTCGGTGCTGAGATGTTAGGATCTGTCAGGTGCCTTACTGCCTCGTCTCGTCTCGGGTAGCCTCACCTTCCCTGCCGAGGACTAGGTTGAAGGGAGAGCCGCCAAGGTACAGCGAGTCAGGAGGCAGATGTGGGGTTTGGCCTAAGCCAAGCCCCATGCTCTTTCCACAACTCCTGTGGCTGTGGAGCATCGCTGCTTCCAGCCCGCCGGGGCGTGGGCTTGTTGAAACAAAAATGCAGATTCCTGGGTCCTGTTCTGGAGATTCCGATCGGCAGGAACGAGATGGGGGTCAGGAATCTTTTTTAAAATATATATTTTATTGATTTTTTACAGAGAGGAAGAGAGAGGGATAGAGAGTTAGAAACATCGATGAGAATCATCGATCAGCTGCCTCCTGCACACCCCCCATTGGGAATGTGCCCAAGGCAACCAATGTACATGCCCTTGACTGGAATCGAACCTGGGACCTTTCAGTCTGCAGGCTGATGCTCTATCCATTGAGCCAGACTGGTTTCAGCGGGGCTCAGGAATCTCAAGCTTTCCGGGAGTTTCTGACACACGGAGTCTGAGGACCACCTGCTGAGGCCCCCTGGTCTGACCTGCCCCATCCCCAAACACCCAGAGAGGAGGGTTGTTGGAGGCAGGTCTCCCGCCTCCGGCCATACCACCCTGAACGCGCCTGACCTGGGAAGCTCAGCAGGGAGGGGCCTGGTTGGTGCCGGGTGGCAGGGAGGCCTCCCTGGCCCCTGCTTCAGCGCGCTCAGCGCCTGGTTGCTGAGGTGAAGCGTGTGGCCCAGGGGAGAGGTATCCTGTGTTCCCTGAGCCGCTCCGGCTCTGGCCTCTCCGCAGGTCTGGTCCCAGGAACTACTACGAGCTGCTGGGGGTACATCCTGGTGCCAGCACCGAGGAAGTGAAACGGGCTTTCTTCTCTAAGTCCAAGGAGGTACCAGCGGCCCTCGGCGGGGAGTGGGAGGGGAATTCAGAGTCCATTTGGGTTCCCGGGTCCCGGTCAGATTCCCAGGATGGAGCTGAGAGGCTGGTGCCCCAGGGAGGGGCAGTGCCCCGGGGGCAGAGGTAGGGCAGGGTGTGAAGAGAGCCAGGGGTCCTGTCTGATGGGCTGGGCTTGTTTTTCTTTTCTTATTTATTTATTTTTTTTAATTTATTGTATTGATTTTTCACAGAGAGGAGGGGAGAGGGATAGAGAGCCAGAAACATCGATGAGAGAGACACATCAACCAGCTGCCTTCCTCACACCCCCCACCAGAGATGTGCCCGCAACCAATGTACATGCCCCTGACAGGAATCGAACCTGATGCTCTATCCACTGAGCCAAACCGGTTTCAGCTTTTTTTTTTTTTTTTTTTTTTAAATAAATATATTTCTTTATTGATTTCAGAGAGGAAGGGATGAGAGAGAGATAGAAACATCAATGATGAGAGAGAATCAGACCCATTGATCGGCTGCCTCCTGCACACACACAGCCCCCCAACTGGGATCGAGCCTGAAACCCAAGCATGTGCCCTTGGCCAGAATCGAACCTGGGACACTTCAGTCCGCGGGCTGACGCTCTGTCCACTGAGCCAAGTCGGCTAGGGCTGGGCTGGGCTTGTTTTTCTGGACCTGCCTGCTCTTGAAAACACCTGGGCCGGGGCATCAGTGAGAGGCAGGCAGCAGGTGGGCAGGGAGGGAGTGCTTCCTGACTCCGGCTTTCTGGTGGGTGGCCAGCTGGAGGGCTGAGAGGTAAGGCCACTGTCCGGACAGGGCCTCTGGGAGTGATGGAGCCTTTGTGGGTGGACACGATGGAGATGGGTCCTGGCAGCGTGCGAAGGGAGCTGAGGGGAGTCCTGCCTCGCCTCAGTTGCACCCTGACCGGGACCCGGGGAACCCAGCCCTGCACAGCCGCTTTGTGGAGCTGAATGAAGCGTACCGGGTCCTCAGCCGGGAGCAGAGCCGCCGCAGCTACGACCAGCAGCTCCGCTCAACTGCTCCCCCCAAGCCCTCGGGGGCCGCCGCCCACCCCGCATCTGCCCACCAGGCGCACAGGTACAATGTCTGCCATTCGCTTCTCCTCCAAACCTGCTGGGTGCCTCATCCCCTCATGGCTCTTTTTCTCCTTCCCAGCGGCTCCTGGGAGCCCCCGAATGCACAATATTGGGCCCAGTTTCATGGAGTGAGGCCGCAGAGGCCGGAGTCGAGGCGGCAGCAGTACAGACACAACCAGCGGGTGCTGGGGTACTGCCTCCTGATCATGCTGGCGGGCATGGGCCTGCACTACGTCGCCTTCAGGTGCACCCTGCCTTTCCCGGGGCGGGCAGAGGGCAAGGGGGGCGCGAAGCCCAGCGTGGCCAGTCGGCCATCCACACCACTCTGTCTGTAGGCTAAGAACTGTATGGAGTAGGTCTCTGGAGCCCCTTTTTTCTCAGCAAAGGCAGCTCTGCGCTGGGGGCTAACGTCATCTCCAGGGTATTTTGTGTTTTATAATTGGCATGTACATCTTGGATGCTGACTATACCAGGAGTGGTGGAGCCAACCAAAGTCAGGCACAAGAAAGAAATGCTTGGTAACGGGCTCGCCAGCAGCTCTCCTCACTGGTTTGGCACCAGCTGTCTCCCCTCCCTCCCCCCTTGGTGCCCAGGCGCTCCCGCACAGGTACACAGAGGCAGTGCCCGCCAGTTCAGGGATGGCATTAGACACACACCCTTTCCAAGTTCTCCGAGGACCACCCTGATTTCAGTGCTGCTGTCCTCACCTTCTGCAGGACAGCCAGGGACCGGGGTGACCACTGGGCCCTGGACAAGCCTGGCTCCTCCGCACTGCCCTCCTCCCCCAGCCCGGGCAGTTAGGCCAAGGTTCCCACAGATAGCAAGCACTGACACCCTAGCGGGGGGACAGTAGGGTTTGGGGGACCCAGCGTTCATTGTCACCCGCTTGCAGGAAGCTAGAGCAGATGCACCGAAGCTTCATGGATGAAAAGGACCGGATCATCACCACCATCTACAACGACACCCGGGCCCGAGCCAGGTCTGTCCCTGCTCCGCCCGCCCCCTCTTCACCGTCCCCGGACCAGCCTCCGGGGTCCCCGTGCCAACCGCCCCGGCTCTCTCCCTCCGCAGGGCCAACAGAGCCCGGCTCCTGCAGGAGCAACAGCCGAGGCCGCCGCTGCAGCCGCCGCCCGAGCCTCCCCCAGGCCCAGGGAACGTGCCCCCCTGAGCCCCTCACCCGGACGGAGCCCGCTGCGTGTGCCCTCTCCGGACGTCCCCGCCCAAAAACGCGTGCAATAAAGTGATTCTCAGCCTTCCCGCCCGCCTCCCTCCTTACGGCCCCGCACCCCCAGCCCCGGCTCCCCCCTTACGGCCCCGCACCCCCGCCCCGGCTCCCCCCTTACGGCCCCGCACCCCCCGCCCCGCCTCCCCCCTTACGGCCCCGCCCCCCCAGCCCCGGCTCCCCCCTTACGGCCCCGCACCCCCAGCCCCGGCTCCCCCCTTACGGCCCCGCACCCCCAGCCCCGGCTCCCCCCTTACGGCCCCGCACCCCCAGCCCGCCGCTCCTCGGACCACGCCCGCCCTCCGGCCCGGCCCCCGGGGCGGTGCGTCCCCTTTCCCCGCTGCAGCGGGAGGGGGTGCGGCGGGCGGGCCCGCGGGCGGCCGCGCCCCTCCGCCCCCGCCCCGCCCCCGCCCCTGCCCGCGGGTGGGAGCGTGTCTGGGTCACATGAGCGGCCCGCCCGCCAGCCCGGGCCGGCCCCCCGCCGCCCCCGCCGTCCCCGCCGCCGCCCGCCGCCCGCCGCCCGCCGGCCGCCCTCCGCCCGGCTCCTCCGGCCGCCGCCGCCTGCGCGGAGCTGCGCTGCCTGCGCCCAGGGCCCGGGAGGGGGCCGCGGAGGAGCCGCCCCCCGCGCCCGGCCCCCGCCCGCCCCGGCCCGGCCCGCGCCATGGGGCTCCGGCTGCCGCCGCCCCCGGCGCCGCCCGGCTAGGGCGATGCGGGAGCCCCCGGCCCGCGGCCCCCGTGGGCACCATGGGCGCCCTGCTCCGCCGCCTGCTGCTCGCGGCGCTCCTGCAGCTGGCCCGCGCCCAGGTACGTGCGCCCGCCGCCGCCGTGCCCTTCTCAAGGTTGGCGGAAGTGGGGAGGCGCGAGCGCCCTCGGAGGGGACTCGCGGGCCGGACGCGGCCGGAGTCGGCCTGGGCATCCCCTGGGAGGTGATCCTCCCCGTCGGCCCATCCCCGGCCCCTCCCCGGCCCCACCCCATTCCCCGGGCGCCGCCGCCGGGGCGGAGCTGCCCGCGTGTCTGTGCCACCTGGGTCGGTGCCCGGCGTGCCCCCTTCTGACCTGCGGCCTCCAGACAAGCCTGGTTCCGGGCTGGGAGAGGGGCCTCCGCCGGCGGAGCACACCTGGCGGTCATGGCCGGGGCAGGGCCCAGGTGGCCAGGAGAGGACAGGTAGAGCCGAGTGGACTCAGGAGTGGAGCAATCGGGGAGAATGTCAGCGAGGAGCTGAAGCCTCCTGACTGCAAGGGCAGGGCCCTGGGGCAGTGAACCCACCTGGAGTGCACCTCGGCCCAGGCCTCTTGTTTCCCGCAGGCGCCCGGCTCCCAGCCTGATGCCGCCGCCGCCGGCCACCAGAAGAAAGGTAACAGTAGCCGCTTCGCGCTAGCGGCACCAGGTGCTGTGTGTTCATCCTCCTGGGTAATCCCAGCTGTTGTGTGAGGTGCAAACCCTTATCCTGCCCGTCACAGAAGTGGAAACTGAGGAAGGGGGTTCCTGGGTTCTGGGTGAACAGGTTGGGAGGGCAGAAGCGGGGGCCAGCGGAGGGTGGCTGTGACACGGGGCCAGGGCACAGCTGCAGGAAACCAGTGGGGACGTAACCCCGTATGCATCTGTCCCCAGTGGTGTCATGGATAGATGTGTATGCGCGTGCCACCTGCCAACCACGGGAGGTGGTTGTGCCCCTAACTCTGGAGCTCATGGGCACCGTGGCCAAACAACTGGTACCCAGCTGTGTGACCCTGCAGCGCTGCGGTGGCTGCTGCCCTGACGATGGCCTGGAATGCGTGCCCACCGGGCAGCACCAAGTCCGAATGCAGGTAGCGTGGGCCTGGCTGGAGTGGGCGCTGGTGCTCGGGGCTGACGGATGCCAGCCAGGGCCCTGGCAGGTGGGCGAGCGGCTCTCCCTCCTGCCCATGGAGTATCCTGTCTTCTCTTTGTCTCTCCCTGTTCTCTGAACACAGATCCTCATGGTCCGGTACCCAAGCAGCCAGCTGGGGGAAATGTCCCTGGAAGAGCACAGCCAGTGTGAATGCAGGTGCCAGCCAGGCCCACTCTGAGCGAGCAGAGACCAGGCTTGGGGTGTGGGCTTGGGCGTGGTGGTACCCCGCCACGGGGACCAGGCTTCTGAGTGGAGCCGGGCATGCCTGGGGTCTGGGCAAGAGAGTAGGACGCTTGGCTTTCCTGATCCTCCTCCTCCTTGTTTCTGTCGGTCTCTCTTTCAGACCAAAAAAAAGAGAGGGTGCTGTGAAGCCAGACAGGTGAGTTTCTTGGGTTCCTGTTGAGGTGGGGTTGGAACCCAGGCCCAGCGCCCAGGATGCCACGTGTGGGTGGGGCAAGGGTTGTGCAAGCCTCAGGAAGCTGTGGTCCGCTCCCCTCTTTCTCCTCCCGCTGTGTCCCCCGCTCCCCTTTTCCTCTGCTCCCCGGTGTGTGTGCTCTGACCCACCCCAGCCCCTCCAGGGAAGACTCTTCTTCCCGCCCCAGACACGTTCTTCTCCTCCTAGGGCCGATCCTCCCCACCACCATCCCCAGCCCCGCTCTGTTCCGGGCTGGGACCCTGCCCCCGGAGCACACTCCCAAGCTGACATCACCCATCCCACTCCAGCCCCAGGCCCCTCTGCCCACGCTGTACCCAGCACCGCCAGCGCCCTGACCCCAGGACCTGCCGCTGCCGCTGCCGACGCCGCAGCTTCTTCCGTTGCCAAGGGCGGGGCTTAGAGCTCAACCCAGACACCTGCAGGTGAGGAGCTGGGGGCTGAGGGGCAGCTGATTGGGAAGCCAGCAAGGCCCTGCCCTGGTGCAGGCCCAGGGCGCGCCTGCCAGTGGGACAGGAGCCAGGGAAGGGGAGGCTGTTGAATGTGTTGAGCAAATATTTACCGAGTGTCTGCCGGCGCCGGGCTCGGCATAAACAAGGCTCACATTCCAGGGCAGGACACTGATGCCAGCAGAGGCTGTCAGGGCCTCTGGTAAGGCGCACCTGGCGTCGTCCTTTGAGAGGCAGAGATGTCCTGGAGGAGTGACATCTGCCTGAAGTAGACATGAGCAGCTCTCCAGTTTGCAACCTCTGGGCCTTCCCAGAAGCCGCTATGGTAGACATTTGTCCCACTTTACTGGCTCTGAGAGGCAGGGGACGGAGTGTAACCCTCCTTCACCCTCATCCGAGGGCTTCTCACAGCCCATCCCTTCCACAGCGAGGCCACGAGTTCAGCCAGTTGGGGTGTCTTTGGAATGCTGGGAAAGAATGAGGTTCGCGGAAGGGAACAAGGGGGCGGGTCCAGAGGGAGCAGATGTTGAGCCGAGGCAGCACAAACAGAATCCCGTTCTTTCCCCCTCAGGTGCCGGAAGCTGCGAAAGTGACACATTGCTTCTCAGACTCAGGGGGGCCGCTTGCCTCGCAGGCCGCACTCCGGAGAGGGACTCAAGGGCCTGGGCCTCTCCGAGGGCTTTCTGGCCAGCTCTTGTCTCTGCAAGGCTGCCCTCCAACATGGTGGGCTGAGGTGGATGAGACTTGGCGGCAGCAAGAGGGGTCACGTACCAACGTGGGAGAGAACGGGGTCCGTGTCAGTGTCTAACTGCCCTGTGTCAGTGCGCAGCTTGCAGAGGCCCCTCCCTGCCCTTACTAAGACGACCCTGACGCTCTGCAAATAATGGGAGTTGGGCTCTGGAATGAGAACTGTGACAACGCCCCCCTCCCCCACCGCCCCCATAAAAGAGATGGACAGAGCTCTCCCTCCTGTGTCACTGTCTGTCACTGCCCAGGCCGGCTGGTTCAAGCATGAATGTCTGTGTTACACTGCCTCCTAGACCCAGAGCTTCTTACTCTGTTCACGGTGCAGATGGAGTAAATGAGGCCCAAGGTCCCACACCAAGTCACAACCAAAGCCCAGGCATGTGTCCTTCACATTCACGTCGTTACGGCCAGACTCTAGGGAGTCCCCGCCCCCCTGCTCTGGAGGGGACGGCCGATGATGGCCAGGGAGTTTGAGGTGGGAAGCGGATCTGCTGAATGACCTTGGGTGTCACTGCCCCTCTGCCTGAGCCCTGCTTTCCACGTGTGCACATGGAGGACACGGATGGTCACTCTGTTCCGGGCCCTGGGGCTCAGGAAGGTCTGAGCATGTGACGTAACAGAACACCCACCTTCCCTGCTGGGCAGCACTGTCTCCTGCTTTTTGCCCCCCTGTAGCTTAACTCAAGCTATGCACCTGCCTTGTTCCCCCTCCCTGAACAGGAAGCACCAAGGGTCCGAGGCTGGTGGGCTTGGTTTGAGAGACAGGCCCCGGACCGCAATCCCCCCGCTTTCTCCACCTTCACCTCCCTTTCACTTGGGGTGCCCCTGCTCGGGACTCTCCTGACCTTTTTCTGCCCCGATCCAAGCGCACTGCCCAGCCTGCTGCCTACAGACTCCTGTGCTGCCAGGCACTGAGGGGGTGGTCCAAAGGCCAGCGCTGGGTACAAATGGCTTTGCCCTGCTGAGGCGGGACACTTGGGCAGAGGTCAATCCGAAGCACCCACCCTCGTGATGATAGATTTGAGGGTGTGATAGTGATCTTGTTGGGCTCAAGGCAAAAGTGGGGTTAAACCAGAAGAGACAATTCCTGAGTGATTAATATTTTCATGTCATGATCGCCATGCTGTCCATGAAAATGCCATAGCCCAGGTAGGAGGAGAGAAGAGGATTAGAGACCTCGGGATACCATCTCAGTCCACTTGGCTGCACTGGGCACGCATGATGCTTCGCCCGCGCCTCCTTGCTTACTCCTCAATTCCGCGGTCAGCTCTGTGACTCTTTTTTATTGGATGAAATAGGCCGATTGACCTGGGGATTTGACCTTAAATCAGCTGTCTCCCTAACCCTAGGTTTAGCTGCCTGCTCACAGCAGATTCGTTGTTTGAGATGTTTGCTGGGTACTGGGGCGCCTGAAAATAACAGCCACATCATTGCAGCTGACTCAGCGGTCAGTGGTCAGAGGCAAGCCTGGCCGTGGGGAGAGAAGAGGGAAGCACTGGCGGTGGACAGCATCGCTGCAATCCTGCCGGGGCCTGCCGGGTGGGGTACTCAGCCGGCCAGGCCAGTAACTCAGCTCAAGGTCAGTCAGTCAGTGACAGGCAGGTCCCGAGTTCAAACCCGCCTCACTCAGGCCGAGTCTTTCCACAACTAACAGGGGGGGGCGGGGGGGGGCGGGACCTGAGGACACACCAGGGACGTCGTGGGCAAGACTGGGGCGACGCAAAATGGCGTCTCAAGACACTTTTCAGGAACCGCGCCCCCTGACCTTAATTTCACCTCCACCGGAAGTGTCTGTGGTCCTTTCGGAAGTCACTTTCACCTAACCTTACCGACTACCGCGCGACAGGAAGTGACGAGGGTCACGTGGCCCTAGAGGGCGGGGCTAAGGGAGTTCCCTCCCCCGCGGGCGGTGGCGGCGGGATTCGCGCGGCCCAATGAGGGCGGGCGGCGTGGCCCGGGCTGGTAGCCGCAGTGACGCGCCTGCGCAGAGGCGGTGGCACGACGAGTTGACTCCGGGGGCGCGGCGAGGAGGTGAGCGGGGGCCACAGCCCGGGCTGAGGGAGCCGGGGTGTCCGCGGGCAGGCTGGGTCAGGCCGGGGTCCCCAGTGTCCAGGAGGGTAGGGCACGAGGAACCTGGAGGCTGGTGCGGGAGCCGACCGGGGATGCCGCAGGGGGAGGGCCCTCACGCCGCACGGGGCGGGGCCCCGGCAGTCGGGGCGGAACTTGGAGCAGAAGCCTCTGAGCTGGGACCTGCGGAAGGCGGGACTCTGGGCCCGGGGGCGGGGATAGGGCTTGTGGGGGGCGGGGCCTGGGCCTTGGAGGAGGAGCTGGGACAGGCGGGGGGTGGAGCCTCGGGCTCGGAGACGGAGGGGAACGAGGCCCAGGCGCCGGGGGCGGGGCTCCAGCCGGTGAGCGGCGTGGGTGCAGCTCAGGAAAAGGGATCTCGTTCCGCCGAGGGTGGGGCTCCGGGGCTGGGGGCGGAACCGCGCCCTCTGAAGGGTGGGGCCAAGGAGCCGAGCGCAGGGGTAGGCCCAGGTAATGGCCCGGGGCGTCCACGCGGGGGCGGGCTCCGTGGTGGCCGGGCCTGGGAGCGTGGTAGGCCGAGAACTCCCCCGGGAGAGGTGGTGTGGGTTGAGCGGGCTCGACGGTCACCCGACACGGGGCCAGTCTGGGTGCCCCGCAGACCCCCGAGGGCTCAGAGCTGGGGAGGTGCCCCGGGCGAAGGCACAGGGCCGGCCTGGGGGGTCTCCCCAGAGGACCGGGGCTCCCCGGAGCCCCCCAGTGGCGATGTGTGGGTGCCTCGGGGCCGATCCCCTGCAGCGGCGGCAGAGGTGTGGGTGTGCTGGGCAGGGGGCAACTGGGTTTGGCGTGAGTGGTGTCGCCCGGTCAGGGCAACTGCTGTGCAGGCAGATAGGGTCTGGACTTTGCGTAAAGGGACGGGTGGGAATTGAAGAACGGAGTTGGGGGCCAGGAGGGAAGGAAGGGCTGAGGGTGAGCAAAGGGGCGGGGCCCTGGCTGCTGTGGCCTCCCCTTACCCCCTCCCCCCGCTGCTGGGGTCCTCGGGCAAGCCCCCTTCTCACTGGACTGGTAAGTGTGACTTGGAGCCCGGGGGAGAGGGTGGTGACCCGGGTCGAGGGGCTCCCCGGGGGCAGACAAGGTCCGGTGGTGTGGAATCCTACCGCCTGCAGGTATTCCAGACCCTTCCTGCCCTCCCGGTCAGTTGGTCGGTGGGGGTCTGTTCTCGCAGAGACATGAGACTCAGCTGGGTCCTGACAGTCCTGTCCATCTGCCTGAGTGCCCTGGCCACGGCAGCGGGGGCCGAGGGCAAGCGGAAACTGCAGATCGGGGTCAAGAAGCGGGTAGACCACTGTCCCATCAAATCGCGCAAGGGGGACGTCCTGCACATGCACTACACGGTGGGTGAGGAGGCCCAGCCTCTGGGTGTGGGTGGGGATTCTAGGGACCAGAAAGGACTTGGAAGTCCTCTGCTAAGGTGGGTGACCTTGGGCAAGTCCCTTCTCCCCTCTGCCAGTTTTCATGGTTCTATCGTGCTCCTCACTGTCCACTCCCCAGGTTGGCACCAACAAAGAGTTACAATGTCCTGTGAGCTGCCTAAGGTTCTGTCCCCTTCTAGGACTATGGCCACCAATGCTGTGGGTGGGGTGCTGTCAGAACCCTCCTCCTCATTGGCCTTCCCATGGTCCCACAGGGGAAGCTGGAAGATGGGACGGAGTTTGACAGCAGCCTGCCCAAGAACCAGCCCTTTGTCTTCTCCCTGGGCACGGGCCAGGTCATCAAGGGCTGGGACCAGGGGCTGCTGGGGTGAGTCAGGGGCCATGGCTGTGGTCCAGGTGAACGGTGGGAGGCAAGCCCCAGGAATGGGGGAGGGAGGACAGGGAGCCAGTGCTGCCAGATGCTGAGTATGTTGTCCTGCAGGATGTGTGAGGGGGAGAAGCGGAAGCTGGTGATCCCATCGGAGCTAGGTAAGTGGGCCTTCCTGAGGGGGTACCGGGTTCCGGGTGTGTTTGGGGAAGGGTGAAGGCTGGTTCAGCCTCTGTATTGGTCTCCCCCACCCAGTCATTACAGTTCATGCCTCTTCCAAGATTAGCTGTGCCCAACGCCAGGGCAAGACCCTTGAGGCACTCGGCTCTGCTGTCCACCTTGTGCCCTTTATCTGGCCTTTGCAGCCCCCCACCCATTACACCGCCATTGCTGGCTGGGCAGAAGCCTGGTCTCAGCCTGAATGTCTGCAGAACCTCTATCTGACCACAGCTCACTGTGTTTTCTGTGTGTGCATCTCTGACAGGGTATGGAGAGCGGGGCGCCCCCCCAAAGATCCCAGGTAAGAGACCTCTGGCCCCCTCCCACTGCCCCTCTCCCCTCCTGTGGCCCTGGCACTCACTCTACCTCTCTTCTCTGCCGCAGGGGGCGCCACCCTAGTGTTCGAGGTGGAGCTGCTCAAAATCGAGCGCCGTTCGGAACTGTAGCCGAGCTGGGGAGGGCCGGTGGAGAGGCCCCATCAGGGACCAGACTGTTTAAGAAAAAAAACCTTAAAGCTCATGAAAGGAGCCTGTGTGTGTTTGTGGGCCCTGAGAGACAGAAACCACAGCCCAGCCTCCCCTCTTCCTCGGCATCCCGAACCGTCTCCTTTTGTGGTTCAGAACCTTGGGATCTAGGCTCGGTAGCCTGGGGGTCAAGATAGCCAGGCCTTGGGTGCCATGGTGGCCCTTGCCCAGAATGAAAAAAATATTCTTGCTGCCAACAACAACAGTGCCCTCTCCCGCACCCCCCATTCCCCAGCCGCTTTTAGCTCCAGGTCTGGGAGCCAACACTGGGCTATCGCCATGACTACGTGGCCTTCAGGAAGGCCTCCAGTCACTTGGGGAGAAGCTGAGCTGGTAACCATTACAGAGCAGTGTGTCCCCCTAAAAGAGACCAACCAAGCCTGTTAGCTGCACCAAAGGCATATCCTAGCTTTATTAAAGGGCCCGCGTCGCAGAGTCAATATAAAAACACAAAAAGTCCCATCAGTTTAATAATAATAAAAAACCCCAAAGTGGAAAACAAGGGGCAGGGAAGAGGCCCCTAAGTGAGGGGCACAGGGAGCCCTGCTCATGGCACCAGGCCTGGCCGCAGGGCCCCTTGGTATTGCTGTTGCTACGAGGTCAGGGGGCAGCGATTGTCCTGTGGGAGCCACCGTTCACCTGGGTTGAGGACCCTCACTTCTTCTGCGGTGTGCTCAGCTTCTGCATGCCCCGGATCTTGTCCAGCAGGCCAGAGATGAAGGCCTGGACAAGAGGGAGGACATTAGGAAGACAAGGTCCCAAGATGACAGGAGCCCGGGCTTACCCCCCACCCTCTGGGGAAACCACGTACCTCAGTGGGTTTGTAACAGTCAACCAGCAGCTCCTAGTGGGACATAAGGGAGAAGTATATTGAGTTCTCGGGAACGGGAGCCTGGAGTTTACCCATGCCCACTTCTAAGGGGCTGGGCCACCCCGAAGGTCAGGATGCCATCGCTAGGCAAGTAGCATGGGCCCCATTTGCTGGAGGCAAAGCTGAGGCTCAGTGCCACAGAGCTGGCTGCACCAGACAAAAGGCCTGCCTCTGAATCGTGCTTACCTAATTGGCACTGCCTACCTGCAGCCCTGTACTCCATGACCCCCCTCCTGCCCCCCTCTGACCCTGCACCCCTCTCACCTTGACCCTGGCAGCCCGAGTATCATCACTCTCCATGTCCAGGAGCTCATCCACGTCAATCTCCAGCTCGGGGATCTCCTCTTCCTGGGGGAGGGGGGGGGGGGGAGACAAAGGCCTGAGTTGGGGGAGAGGGTTTGAGAGGGGCTTGCTGGCTGAGGCCCCTGCCCTGCTCTGGGAAGAGCCAGCCCTCTGTGCCCAGCAGACAGCAGCAGCTGCTCCGAGGAAGAAAACAGACCAGGCCCTTGCCAAGGAAAACTGCCCGATGGGGGGGGAGGGATACTTCCTGTCTCTGCCAGTTGGGCACCCTAAGTGCCAGACAGCTAGGGCTGGGGACCCTGGGCTGGGAATACTGCAGATGTGTCTCCCTAACTTCTGGGCCCCCCATTTCAACCAGAGCAGGTGGGGCCAGCTGTCCCAGCTCATCACAGCCCTTTCCCCTCCCCCAAACACCTGTCACAGCTTCCCAGGGGTGAGGAGGAAGTGCAGGGTGAGGGGTCAGCGAGAAGGACCCAGGCCTGGAAAGGGGGAAACAAAGAGCACATGCTTTGCGGTGGGCGGGTGCCTGCCACCTCTCCTCCCAGGAAGCACCTAAGGTCTGGAGGCAGCAGCATTCCAGCGCTGGGCTAGGACGGCAGCAGGGCTAGCCCACCCCTCCACCCTGCCCCCAGGGGTCTGAGTCACCGGTGAGCAAGGAAGGCGTCACGGGGTGGAGAACCTGAACCAGGGAGCCGGCCTGCCTGCCCCGACGCCAACATGGAGCTACAGGCGGGCCCCCTGGAGTAAGCCGACGCTTTGGTTATGGACCCCTCGCCAACCGGGCTAACGTCCTGGAGCCAGTCTAGGACAGCAGGCACTCAGACCCCCTCCCACTGCCAGCGCAGGCTACCCCACGCCTCCTGCCAAGCCCAGGCTACCCCGAGCCTGACCAAGGCGGTGGCCGGAGGGAGGCAGCGGAGAAGACGAGTGACTTAAGTCAGACAAAAAAGAGCAAACACTGGGGGCGGGAGCAGACGGGCGGGAGCGCGCGCGGAAGCGCTGTGCCCATTGCCTTCGGTGACAGGCAGGCTCAAGGTGCGGTGCCCAGGCAGCCCGGCTCGGGACGGCTTTAGGGTGCCGGCGTGGGGTGGGGGACACACCTGGCAGTCGTAGAGGCGAGTGAGCTGTTCCAGGATCCACTCCTCCAGGTTGAGGCGCTTCCGTAACTCCTTGCGGTCGTACTTGACCGTGACCTTCCCCTGGCGCCTCACGGGGCCGTCGTCGTCCGCGCCGCCCGGGCCCTCGCCGGCAGCGCCGGGCGGGCTCTGGAAGTAGACGCGGGGCCCTGGGCCGCCGCCTCCCGGCCCGGGGGCCGGGGCGGCCAACGCCGCGCCCCCCGCGGGGCCGCTGTCCGCCATGGCGGCCGCCGGGGCCACGTGCGCGCGTCCGGCCCCTCCCTGCGCCGCCGCCTCCCGGGCGCCCGCCGGCTGGCTGCGGGCCGTCGGCGCGGGCTAGCCGGTGGGCTCTTCTCCGCGGACTCGGCGCTGAGGGCGGCGGCGGGGGCGGCCGGGGGCAGCTGCTGCATGCGGAGCCCCCGGGCCTGCCTGGCCGCGCCCCGCCCCCTCCGCGATCCGCCCGCCCTTTGTCCCCCGCGGCCGCCGCCCGCGCCGCCGCCACCGCCGCCGGAGTCTCTTTCTCTGTCTCGCTGGCTTCCCCGCCCCCGACCACACCCCCTTAAAGGGCCAGTCCCGCCGCCGGCCCCCGCCCACCCGCCCCGCCGGGGCTGCAGGAGGGTCTGCCGGGCGGGGTCGGGCGGCGGTCCGCTGCCCCTATAGCGGCCCTCCCCAAGCTCGTGTCCTAGGCGCCGGGCACCGGGACTCGTGCCCCATTGGCACCCTGGAATCCTGTCCCCACTGAGCAGAAACGGGCCGCCTGGAAAGGGAGGGGAGTGGGCCTGTGTGCCGGGCGGACGTCCGGCGAGGAGGTGTGGGAGCCCGGGCGCCTGTCCGCCAGCGCTGGCCCGCGGGGGGCGAGCAGGTTTCTCCGCGCGGCCGACACGTGGACCGGCTCCCACGGGTGAGGAGCGGAGATGGCGGGCAGGAGCTGCCAGGCCCCCGACGCCCTACTCGGCGGGGTCCTGACCCGTCATGGCGGAGGCCCAGGATGGGGGTGAGCAGAACGGACCTGGCGGTCTGAAGGGCCAGACCCCAGGCGGTCACCGCCCACCGGCCAAGATGGCGGCGGCGAACGGAATTATGGGAAATGTAGTTCGCGG